GAAGTGTGCTGCCTCCCTGGGGCCTGTATATAGAAGCCTGGGCAACAAGGAATTAGTGGGCTTCTATATCTCAAACACTGATGATGATTCTGCAAGCAGGAGTGTTAGAACAGGATATGGTTAGAGAAGGGGGCCATGCAGAGGTAGGGCCACACTTCTTGGGACCACCTTCCCTGTTCTGATTTATGAAAACCACACAACACAGAACACTGCAAACATAGGAATGGAGTCAAGGAGTGGGCAAGACCAGTAGAAGGGGATCAAGACCACCAAAGACCCTCAAAGCCCTCTGACCAATTTCTAGAAGGATCCAGGGGAATAGACTGTGCATACTAACTGTCCTGGTTCTGGCCAGGACAGGGCTAACTTTTGCAGTAGCCATGAGGGGGCATGGCTGGGACCTGGAGGTTATTCTATACCACCTCATGCCATTTTCCAGGAACAGGGGAAGGAAAAAGCTCAGCCAGGAGCTTAACTTTTAAAAAATATACAAGGCTCCAAAAGTTCACCCACTGAACTTTTGAAGAACCTTCAGTTCTATACCTTAAGATAATGTAAGGAGAGAATGCTGCACACATTTTCTCAGGAGATACTTTTACAGATAAATATGGGAGAAAACAAGGATGGCAAAAGTTTAAAAGGGTAACATACAACTAAGTAGAGCATTCCACAAAGTGATAACCCTGCCCATGCCAACCCACACAACTTAGCAAAAACCAACCCACCAGTTTAAAGTTACCCAAAATATTGTCAGAAAATAGATTAAAAGAATAAAGAAAGAAAGAGATTAAGAGAAGAAAAATAGCTATTGACAGAGAGTCCTATGGAACTCCAGCTTCATATGGTAGAGTCAGGTCCCAGGAGAGAGAGAGAGAAGATGGAGGCCATGTGTTACTGTTTATGTGCTTTGGCCCTCTGTGGGCACCCCTCCCAGGCAGGACTTCTGGCTCACTGGCCACTCTGGGGCTCCAGGCTGGAGCGAGGGGTGGTGTAGCCAAACAGAGGCTGGGTTAAGGGTTCCAGGGAGCGTGGTGTGGGCATGTTCCCAGGCTGCCCTTTTGATTGACAGCTGCTATGGAGCTGCCCCATGAGGCTACAGGCCTACCATGTGGGTTTCAGGGCTGCCATGTAGGCTACGGTCTGACCCTTCCCCACACACACGCTTGACTTGGTTCCAACAAAATAATTAAGTAATCCTCTGTGAGATTTGAAGCGAGTTTCTCACAAGGGTCCCTTCTGGGTCAAGATAGTGTGGCTGTGGTCAGGTATTTTCAGGCTCCGAGTGGTATAGTGGTGAACATTTGCATATGAATTGCTTGCCTTTCTTGTACACATTTTTAATTAATATTGTTGCTGTTACTGTTCATTTTCCTATCTCATTGCTGTTTCCAGTAAATTTGCCTTATATTAACTGTGATCTTTACCTTTTGTGCCTCCAATTCACCTCTCCAGCCTGCTGTAGGGGAGGAGGAGGGAGTGGGCGCTGTGTGATTTGGAGTGGTTTCAGTGTGAACACTAAATTGGAGAATACCATTCCTAAACCATGGCACCAACTCATTTGAATGAGAAACAAGAAAACTAGCCCCAGGGTGGGGAAAAATTACCTATAAAAAGATACCCCCACAAAGTCCAGGTGGCACCGCCAGGACCCTGGACACTCTGTCAACTGGATCAATACTGGACCCAGGACTGGCAATCTCCTTTCCTCTCCTATCTGATCTCCCTTTCACTCTCTCTTTCTTACCTCTCTTCTTTTATCCTTTTTTTTTCTCTTATTATTAGATGATAGGGAAAAAAACATATACCAGTTTCCAGGTCAAGTGTGTAATTTCCTAATAAAACTTTATGAGTTTTTTGGACCCTTCTGGTTTTGCTGTTTGTCCCAGTTTAAATGATACACAGGTGGTTTGCTGAGGATGAGTTATGAGAAAAGACCCAAACTCCTCCCTCTAAGCAATTATAAATCCGAAATTAAGAGGTTCCAATTGAAGGAAAAACAAATTATGGAAAAGGAAAAATAACAACCCTTTATTAAAAGGTATTTGTCTATTGGTAGAAACACGGAAAAAAACCCAGTAAAACATCCAAACAATACTCCTATACCCACAAAGAATCCCCTTCAAAACAAACCAATGAACAAGCAAAGAAAAAAAAAAGTAAACAGTACAGTTTTCTCCCTTTGGTTCAATTCCAACCACAGTCACCAGGTGGTGCTGTTGGATCACTGGAAATGCAGACCCTGCAGCTCTCTATGCCAACCAGCAGTGGAATCACTGGTCACCGCCACGTGGGGGTGGGGTGGCAACACCCTCCGGGGTATGTCAGAGAAACCAGAAAAACTAGGCCTCCCTTCCCACACACTGGGAAAGGGGAGAGGGAGAGGGGGAAGGGAAACAACAACAAAGTCCTCCCAATGAAAAAAAATGAGACTCACGCTGTTCGGCTGGTTGAAATCTTGCAACACAGCCCTCTCTCTCCCCCTGATGTGCACAAGGACCACTGCCAGGGAAAGAAAACAAACAGGAACGGTGAAAGGGAAAAAAAAAAAAACCTTTAGAAAAAAAACAGCTCCTCTCCGATGAAGAATCCAGGCAGGATCTGTCGCTGTCAAGCAGGTAGAGAGCCACAGGAACCCCTGAGCTTCCACTCTGACCTGTGTTCCAGCCACAACCAGCACACCAACTCCTCCCCCCATTTCCCAGGAGATGAGAGAAAAAAGTAAAGTGCAACCCCTCATCCCCCCCATTTCCTAAGAGACTAATTTCTGAGCAATTAGCCAACTGGGCCAGTTTTTTTGTATCTCTTATGTGTTCGCTTGATAGCTCTGCATGCAGGGGGCAGGGGGAAGGGAAATAAATTCCTACCTAGTTTCCAAGAACCATCTAAACCATGACACCGTTCTTTTTTGACCACGGACATCTACAAATCTTGGGTGCACCCTTCTTCTCAGGAGTTGGATGCAACACCAGGTAAGGGATATTCCTAGAAAACTCTCTAGTCTAGTATGGTCCTCTGATTATTATCAACTGTTGGTTCTTCATGTTGTCAACGATGAGATAGCAAAGAGAGGACCAAGGGTGATCCAAAGGGATTTCAGTGCCTTGGGGAGGTTGGTTGAAGGATCTGTTAAGGAAACTTTCCTGTCTGACCATTCAGGCTCCACTCTGGGAGTCACACTCCCACCACCTATAAAACCCTAGCCTCAGGAGCTGCCAGCTCACAGGATTGGCTAGGAATTTTACTTTAATATATAGATATAGGGTTCTTTAATACCTGTAGAGACCATCAAGAGAATAAGCCACAGGCTTGTTCCCAAAGAATTTCTTTATTAATTTAGGGGACCAAACAAGGGGACTTGGCCAAAGTTCAAAAGGACACCACACAAGCTAGACAAAAATGTTCCACCCCAATACCGACTCAGCATATACTATTAATCCACAACACAAGTCAAAATCCAACCAATTCCACAACACTTAAGATCCAATCCCTCCATCTCCAAACCACCCCAAGCATCAAGAAAGGAACAAAGAAAGAGAAGTAGAGGGATCAAGAAAAGAGAAGGAGAAAAAGGGAGAGACAGATTATATAGCTACCACTGAAGCCTTGTAGAAGACCAGTTCTCACAAATCCAGTGGTAGGGCCGCAACATGAGGCAAACACATGCCTATGGTTTTATCTGCTCTGGTCCCTATGGTCAACCTCTCCAGACAGGGTCTCTGACCCACCAGCCACTCTGGGGGTTCCAAGTTGGGGTAAGAGGCAGTGTTCTTACTGTCCCTGCCAATCTGAGGCTGGGTTAGGGGTTGCAGGAGGTGTTTTGTGTCATAGTTTTCCTGGGCTATTTGTGACTGACAGCTACTCCGGGGCTTCCCCATGTGGGTTCCAGGGGCCTGCCATGAGGGATACAACACCACCCCACCTCTGTGAGGTTTGACCCATCCCTTCCCCCTTCACACACACACACACACACACACACACTCCCCACAAGGTGGTTCTGACCCAATAATAACTTGGTATCTGACACCACCCAAGTCTTTAGGTGCTATGACCAAAGTCCCTTTGCAGTAGATGGTTCCAGTGAACCGAGGGGAGCCCCATTTGATTCCCTACACACACCACTCTCACACAATCAGACAAGTTGCCCTCACCAGCTCAACCCAAGGTTTTCCTTAGCAAACTCCCAGACTTCTGGTTCCTTTAAGTATTTTAATTGTGATACAGTGACATAATAACAACTCGAGCTGGTGCCTAAGAGAAGGGACCCTGAATGAAAAAATCCCTGGGCAATGATACCCTTAGAACCTACATTTCCGGTCCCTTGCATAGCAATTCCGACCAGTGGAAAATTAGAGGTTGGAGTCTTGTCTTTGTTTATTGGATCCTGCAGAGTCTCTGGGTGATCAGCCACCCCCTGGTGCCCTTTTTTAGGCAAGAGGTCAGTGCCCATTGTCTGTGGCTCCAGCAATATCCCGGCATCCAGGGCACAATTTGCAGCTTGTGCAACCAGTTACTGGCACTAGGTGCATTCCTACGGGGGTGGGTTGACCTTGGCTGGATGACAGGTGCCCACCAAGCTGCTCTATCACTCCATTTCCCCATCTGTCGGGGCCTTAGCAATTCTGCATGATTATTCTGAGTTCTGAAAAGGTCAGAAGGTAACAGTAAGATAAACAAGAAACGGCTTGCTGCTGCAGGAATGCAGGAGTCAGCAGAAACAGGATGGGAAAAACAGTGATAACAGAAACGGTATGCAAATGTGGTCTTCAAAACCACAAATCGGTGGGTTACCTGGGGCACGTGGACAGCGCGTGCTGACCAATCGTGATGGCGTGCTGTGCTCGTGTTCGCGTGGACAGGACTCAGAATAATATAAATTGTACAGCTTAACAATAATAAAACTGGATTCGAACTTGCATGTTGTGGATGTGTGTATGGTTCTTTCCAGTTCGCTTGCCTGCCTGCAGCATCTGGTGAACTCCGACGTACGTGCTTGGGGACGATCAAACATCGGACTGCAGAGCCTGCGAGGATCCTGCTTGCCAGCAGAGTTATAGCTGGGCGTCAGAAGAAAGACGGACCGTGCACGGGCTGACCGGTGAGTCAGGAAAATAAGCAGGATGGGATTAACTGCGTCAGCAGTGGAAAAGGCGGTTGTCGATAGCCTAATGAAATTGGCTGATAAGACTGACGCTCAGTTGCCGCGTTCGGCGCTGATAGATTTACTATGTTGGTGTCGCCGCCGTGGGTTTTTCTCTTCCACGCAAGATATATATAATACTGAGACGTGGCGAAAGGTGGGGAAGGACTTGTGGGAATCGGTGCAACTTGGAACGAAAGGGGCAAAGACACTAGCAAAAACTTACCGTACTCTGCGTACACTGATTGAACGGCTACATGGCGAGGCGCAAGTCGCCGCGGCTGTTAAAGCCGCGGTGCGGTCTCCCGATAGCTCTCAAACAAAGGCAGAACGCGCGGCCGAAACGCAGGGTGTCTGGCCCCCTCTTGGAGACCCCCCTGATTATCCTCCGTTAACGTGTCTTGTCATGACTAAGGCAGAACAAATAGCGTGGGGTTTAGATGACGAATTTCCACCGTGGAACCCCAGTAACAAAAAGCCATTGCCCGAAATACAAATCGAAAGTAAAATACCGGGTAATAGCGCTGCAACGACATCTAGCGAGGCTGCAGCGACATCTAGCGACGCTGCTGCGACCGTACCGACCGTACCGCCCGCCCCGCCCGTACCAACCGCCCCGCCCTTACCGACCGCTCCGACCGGACCGATCGTACTGCCCGCTCCGATCGTACCGACTACACCCGTGGTAGAAGAAATGGAGACGGACGACGATCTGCTTGACCGTCTTACACCTCTACCCCCGGAGGACGGTGGCCTCCACAGCGGTAATGAGGAACGCCGACCAACAGCGTATTCAGAGTTACGGCGGGAGCTCCGAAGCCAGAGAGAAACGATGACAGACCTCCTGCATCAGATGGAGCGGCTCGATCGGGGATCAAAGAGACGGGATATTAAAAAGGCCTATAAGGACGCTCATAAATCTATAATGAGTGGGTTAAATGCTATTGAGCACAAATTTGGGGAAATTGAACAGGAAAGGCAAAATATCCAATTTATACCTAGAGATCCTAACTTTGATCCTCAAAAGCGTTATCGAGGGCTGGCAGAAAATTGCATTATAGAGGGAGAATTTTCCTTTACCCCACTTGCAGCTCCTGTAGTGGTGCGACAGGGTCAACAAACCTGGGAACCCCTAGATTGGAAATTAGTGCAGGGGATTCAAAAGGTAATAATGCAATATGGTCATAATAACAAATTAGTAAGAAATCAAGTCACTTCCCTGATAAAGTATACTGAAATGGTACCAACAGACATGAGGGCAGTCATGGAGCTGATTTTATCACCCACCACTTATATGCTCTGGCTAGCAAAGTGGCAGGAACAACTGGAAATGAAATTAATGGAAAATATTCATTTGCCACAAGGCGACCCCTTGAGGGTAGCACCCTTAGATGCACTTATGGGAACAGGTGCTTATCGGGATGGGGCTGCTCAGGTAGCATTGCATACTAGGATTTTGCAGCAATCAAAAAACGCTGGTTTGGCAGCTTTCCTAGCATTGCCTCAGATTCACACACCGACACTGCCTTATACAAAAATCATGCAAAAACCAAATGAAACATTTTTTAGTTTTGTTGACAGGCTGCGAGAGGCAATAGAAAATGCACCTAATGTCACTCCTGATCTTAAGGCTCTTTTAACAAAAGAAATTGCTGTCCAAAATGCTAATGCAGCCTGCAAGCAGCTTATAGCTACCTTACCCCCTGGTGCAACTATTACTCAAATGATAGAGACCTGTGCAAGGGCCCCACTAGTAGAAGAAGAAACTAAAGCACGAATTCATGCTAATGCTTTGGCTGCTGCTCTAAAGATCAACCCTCTGTAAGGGCAGGGTAATCGAAACCTTAAACCAAGGTGCTATCAGTGTGGGCAAGAGGGTCATTTTAAGCGTCACTGTACACATGCAGGCAAGGGAAAAATAGCATTAAATGGTAATTGTGCTCGTTGTGGAAAATTTGGCCATAAAGCGGCAGATTGTCGCTCAAAATTTCGCAAGGATGGAACCCCCCTTACCATGTCGGGAAACGGGAACAGCCGCGCTCCGAGGGACACGGCCAAGAAATATCCCCAGAACATTCCAAAAACACTGGCTGCCTCGACAAACTGTAATCCGCCACTTGCGGAAGTGCAGGAGTCGATCTGGCCGTGGCAGAATCAGTAAATATCAATGATAATAATGTTCATGTCCTCCCTTCTACTGTCAGTGGACCTTTAGGACATGGACTATCAGCATCACTCATTGGGCGTTCTTCTGCTTCAAAAAGGGGAATATTTGTCCTACCTGGTTGCATTGATGCTGATTATACCGGGCCCATTGGGATTATGGTACAGATTTTTGCACCACCAATTCATATTCCAGCAGGGAGTGTGATTGCACAGCTTATACCTTTTAAGGCCTGTGTCCCAAAAAAAGGAGATCAAGAAAGAGGGACAGGTGGTTTTGGTTCCACAGGTATACCTAACGTTGCATTTTGTCAAATTTTGGGAGTAGAAAGACCTAAATGTAAAGTAAACATTTCCAGACCCAATGATCTAATTCTTTCCAATATTTCCATGATGTTTGACACAGGTGCTGATGTAACCATTCTTCCTATTTCAGTGTGGCCTTCTGCTTGGGAATTAGATAACACGGGTTCAACCATTTCAGGCATTGGGGGAAGTCGTCTGACTCAGGTCAGTAAAAATTTTCTTCTTTTTTCGGATCAAGAGGGACATCAAGCATGGGTAAAACCATACGTACTACACACTTCACTCTCCCTTTTAGGCAGAGATGTATTGGCTCAGTGGGGTGTCAAATTGTCCACAGATTTTTGATTGGGGCCATTGATGGCAGCTCTCGCCCTACACTCAAATTAAAATGGAAAACTGAAAAACCTGTTTGGGTTGATCAATGGCCTCTATCTTCAGAGAAGCTGCAACATGTACAGGATTTAGTTCAGGAACAGCTAGAACTTGGCCACATAAAACCTTCTGTTAGCCCATGGAATACACCTATTTTCACAATCCAAAAGAAGTCAGGAAAATGGAGGCTGCTGCACGACTTAAGAGCAGTCAATGATAGGATGACGGACATGGGTACTCTCCAGCCCGGATTACCTTCTCCGGCTATGTTGCCACAAAATTGGGATTTGCTAATCATTGATTTAAAAGATTGTTTCTTTACTATTCCATTACATGAAGATGACAGTGACAAATTTGCCTTTACTGTGCCCTCAGTTAATCGGGCAGCTCCCGCAAAGCGGTTCCAGTGGGTCGTACTACCACAGGGGATGAAAAATTCTCCCATGATTTGCCAATGGTTTGTAGATTTAGCCCTTCAACCTTGGAGAAAAAATAATCCTGATCTTATCGCATATCATTACATGGATGACTTATTAGTTGCTAATCCACAGCCTTTATCCCTTCAGAAGGAAAAGGAGTTAATTCAAAATCTACAAGCATTTGGCTTGGTAATTGCCCCAGAAAAGGTTCAAAAACACACACCTTGGAACTACCTTGGCATGCGTATCACAGAAACGAGGCTGAGCCCACAAAAAACTGCCATTGTCCCAAATGTCCGTAATGTTAATGATGTGCAAAAATTAGTAGGAGACATCCAGTGGCTCAGAACCTTTTGTGGAATCCCCCAATTCGGATTTAGGTCCATTGTTTGCTTTATTGAAAGGAAGCACGTCCCCTGCTGATCCTAGGTCCATTACACCTGAGGCAACTGCAGCCCTAGAAGTCATCTCACAAAAAATTCAAAATTCTGCCATTGATAGAAGAATACTACAATGTCCATTTACCATAATTATATACAACCGTGACACTGAAGTGGTAGCCTTGATCACACAATTACCAGACCAGAGACCTATGATACTCCTAGAGTGGGTTTTTCACAGCAATACTCTCAAAGCTACTGTCACCACTAGGCCTGATGCTATAGGTCAATTACTCCTAAAAACAAGAGGACGTTTGCGCACCCTTGCTGGGTGTGACCCAGAAAAAATCATTCTGCCTGTGAAAAATTTGAATTTAATGGATTGGTGGATCCAATCTTCTGAAACTTTTGCAGTAGCCACTCATGGCATTCAATTGGACAACCATTACCCCCATCATCCAATATTTAAAACCACTTTGATACTCGAAGAAGTATCCCTGCAACAACAAAAGCCTATTCCTGATGCCATAACAGTCTTCACTGATGCCAGCAGTAAAACAAAAAAGTGTGGGTATGCCTACAAAGATACCCAAGGACATTGGGTTTCGCAGGTAGAACGGGCAGAAGGGTCAGTGCAGGTATTGGAGTTGAAAGCTGTCTTAATGGCTTTTAAGGCTTTTCAAACTTTACCAATTAATATTGTCTGTGATTCTAAATACGTTGTAGGAATAGTCGCACGCCTTTCACGTTCTTTGCTAGGATCTTTCACAAATACACTACTCATGACTCTAGTTATTCAGTTATGGAATGAAGTTAGTTTTAGACGTTTTCCTTGGTGGATAACACATATTAGAAGTCATCTTGACTTCCCAGGATTTTTGTCTGAAGGTAACACCTATATTGACAGCCAGGTAGCCTCGCCTGTAATTCAACTATCTCCCATACAACAAGCAACTAGGTCACATGCATTTTTTCATCAATCTGCAAGAGCCTTACTAAAGACATTTGAGCTGTCCCGTAGTGAGGCAAGATCCGTAATAGCTGCCTGCCCTGATTGTGCTAAGCTCACACCATTACAGCAGGAAGGGACAAATCCACGAGGACTACAACCTCGACAAATCTGGCAAACCGATGTTACAGATTTCGCTCCTTTTGGGATTTTAAAACACGTTCATGTAACTGTCGACACCTGCTCAAAAGCCATTTGGGCCACAACCCATAAATCTACTAATGCTATAGCTAGCATTCAGCATTGGACCTCTGCTATAGCAGTGCTCAGGTGCCCTCACACCATCAAAACAGACAATGCACCTGCCTACTTAAGTGCAAGAGTAAAAGTTTTTCTAACCCAATGGAATATTAAACATATCACCGGAGTACCTTATAAGTCCGGAGGTCAGGCCATCATAGAACGCACTCATCAATCCTTAAAACACTATTTACGTATTTTCAAAACAGGGGGGGAAAAGAGTCCTCATGCCATTATTGCAAAAGCTTGTTATGTGCTGAACTGGTTGAACCCTAGAACAGATAAAACTGAAGCACCAATATTTAATCATTTTATTGCCAATACTAATGATTTCACCTCTCAAAAGATTGCTGTACAAGTTTTTGACCCTTTACAGAATATGTGGTCAGGTCCATGTGATTTATTAACATGGGGAAGGGGTTATGCATGTGTTTCTACAGGGAACACGACCAAGTGGATCCCAGCAAAGTGGGTACGCCCTTGGATACAGTTTCAGGACTCAGAAGAAGAACAGAAAGACAGCGACCCTGGCGACGGATCCTGATTACGAAAGACTTCAACGATACATACACCGATTACATGTTGCTACTGATAAGTATTTGAAACCATTTTTGGAGAACACTGAATATCAATATCTGTTGGGTTGGAAAAATTTAGATGATTTTTGGTTTATCACACAGACACTAGGGATTGTCATTCCAAATTCTCTGTGGAAACAGCCTTGTATTTCATGTAAGCAGAAACATAAAACTGATAAAACATGGATACTCATACAGTGTGGAGGTTGTAAAGAGGAAATCTGGGTCTGTCAGAGGCAATTAGACGGGTGGTGTGCACGCTGTGACGAAAGGTGGCGAGGAAATAACATAATACGGTCTTTAGAGGAGTTTACAGGTCTCTCTATCCAAGAAATCAGTGAGGTCCCAATTTTTGAAAGCCAGGAACAAAGGTGGATAGCGGAACAGAGGTGGAGCATACGACATGAATACGACCGAATCATGGCTCAAAATGACACCAAGATCCTTGATTGGTTCTGTGATGAGAACTTGTGTATCCCTAGGGGGTGGATGGTCCCTCCCCAAAATTACGGATTAGCAAACGCAAGGAAAAACGGCAACGTAAACAACAAAACTAAGGTTATCTGGTATTACCACCTAATTCTATCCAGCATCATCCCTGTTGCAGCCATCCACAACATTGACCCAAGACAAAATATGTGGGTTACTTGGGCCAATGTGTCTGGGGTTACAGAATTTTGTCTATCCCTCCAAAAAGCCAGTGATCCTTTTCGAACTTGTCTAATTGGTTATCCATACATACATTGGCCAGACTTTAGCCATTTGGGAGTGAACTACACTGCTATTAATAACTCTTATTGGCAGTGGAGAGACGACAACTCACAGGGCGAATGTTCAAAATCGTGGAATTGGCCTATTGTGAAAGAAGCACGTTTTTTACAACAGTTGATATACCAACTCAACGAGTTGGCACCTTTACCCTTACAAGAATTGGATTTGTGGGGATCATTTCCTCCTGTCATAAGTGTGAGCGATGTTTCTAACCAAACCAATTGTACCAATATATACCCAAAGATTTTACCGATCAATGGATCCGGAGTCGTCCATTTTGGAGACTCATGGAAACGTCTCATGCATGCCGACGGCGTAATGCAATATTATCTGGGCTACCAAAATGTGACCGGGCAATCTAGTCATTGGAATACCTCCAAACATGCCGGGGAGTTAAATGTAGAAAACGTGTCTGCCAAAATACTACCTGAGGGTTATTTTCTAATATGTGGTGATAGAGCTTGGCCTGGTATTCCTTTTCGCCCCGTGGGAGGACCATGTTACATTGGAAAGCTAGCCATGTTTGCACCTGCCATGCGTGACCTGGTAAGACAGACAAATCACATTCGGGCCAAGAGAAATCTCAAAGACTTAGCACCTGATTGTGATGACAATGTGAAACTTGGAACAACAGGTGAAGCCGTTGCTTTGTCACTTTTCCTCCCAGGGGGCATGGCGGCAGCAAACTGGAAGAAAATTAAAACTTTGGCGTGCTGGGCTGTAAAACAATTTAACTCTACCTCTGAAATCTTAACAGGTTTAGCTAGCGATGTAAATAGTTTGAGAAATGCGGTTTTGCAAAATAGAGCAGCGATTGACTTTTTGCTTTTAGCACATGGGCACGGGTGTCAGGATTTTGAGGGAATGTGTTGTATGAATCTATCTGATCATTCACAAAGTATACACAAACAGCTACATGAAGCCACTCACTTAAGGAAGGCTTTGAAACATAAAAGGTTAAAACAAAATTGTAAGAAATTTCAAAACCTTAACATTAGGAAACTAGGAAAGGAGTCATAAATTGTCTTGAGGAACAGAACATATTGACTAGATAGAGCAGTCCTTGAGAGATAGCAGCGTTCCTCACAGAGATAGCAACTCAGCAAATCCTAGGATGAGCCAAAAGTCAGCCTAACCCTATTATGTTTGCCAAAACTGCCTTAAAAGGAGAAGATCTAAAGAAAGTTCAGAAGTTTACAGTGAGGAAGACTCACACACGACCCCCGCCCAGAGGAAGGCAACAGGAACCCCCACCGTGAAATCTCCCCAAATTGAAGACTCCGCCCAGACTCCGCCTATATATGAATATTACAAGTAGATGTTGCAATTTAATGAATATGCATGATTATGTTGTAATCCTATACTCAAAAACTGTATAAAAGAGCTATGCTGATTGTACACGACGGAGCTCTTTGCCCAGGGCGACCTGGAGGGCTCCCCAACGCGTTGCTAATAAAATACCTCCTACTTTAAAGAAACAAACTTTGTCTCTAAAGCAGTTTCTCCGTGCCTTTTGGGGCAAAATTCCGGCATCATACAAGAACTCAAGGAACGCATGCATCACGTAAAAGAAGGATCTGCGGGATTGGATGCCTGGCTGGCATCATGGGGAGTAGGAGGTTGGCTGAAAGATATACTGAAACAAGGACTGTCTATACTCATTTTTATTCTGGTTTTATTGCTTGTTGTTCCATGTACCTTTAGGTGTCTTCAAGATTGTATCATTCACAGTTTTGACTCTATGCTTAAGCGAAAGGGGGGAAATGTCGGGGCCTTAGCAATTCTGCATGATTATTCTGAGTTCTGAAAAGGTCAGAAGGTAACGGTAAGATAAACAAGAAACGGCTTGCTGCTGCAGGAATGCAGGAGTCAGCAGAAACAGGATGGGAAAAACAGTGATAACGGAAACGGTATGCAAATGTGGTCTTCAAAACCACAAATTGGTGGGTTACCTGGGGCGCGTGGACAGCGCATGCTGACCAATCGTGATGGCGTGCTGTGCTCGTGTTCGCGTGGGCAGGACTCAGAATAATATAAATTGTACAGCTTAACAATAATAAAACTGGATTCGAACTTGCATCTTGTGGATGTGTGTATGGTTCTTTCCCGCTCACTTGCCTGCCTGCAGCACCCATCTGAACAGGAGAGAGAAAATAAGATGAAAACCAACTCATATGTTAAGACAGTTTACTAAAGCAAAAGCAAAAGTTTGTGTGTGCACACAAGCAAAGAGGAAAAAAAAGGTTTATTCTCTACTTCCCATCAGCAAGTGATGTTCAGTCACTTCCAAGGAAGCAAGACTTCAGCACACATAGTGGTTGCTCTGGAAGGTAAACAATGTAAATAAAAAATGCCCCCCCTTCCTCCTCCTTTCCTTAGCTTTTTTATCTGATGTCATATCATATGGAATATGACTTTGGTCAGTTTGGGTCAACTGGCCTACTTGTGTCCCCTCCCAGGATCTTGTCCACCCCCTGCCCCTTGATAAGGAGGGGGAATGCTGAGAGACAATGCTGATACTGTGCCAGCACTGCTCAGCAGTAACCAAAGCACTGGTGTGTTATCAGTACCTTTCTAGTTACCAATGCACAGCACTGTGAGGGCTGTTATGGGGAAATGAACTCCATCTCAACCAGACCCAATACAACCTCCACCCCTTATTCCATACCATTTGTGTCAGATCCCACATAATTTATTTATCATCTAACTATTCCATTGTATTTATTTCTCATTCCTGAAATCCTTTCTTACCAACACATACAACTTAAACTACATCCTTAAATCATCTGTACACCCAAAATACAGATTTATACATTTTCATTAACTATTATCCCCCGTCCTTTCACAGATAGATATTATTTTTCCATTTGATGACCTTCTTCCACTCCTCTAGATATTAAAAACTTGGGCTCCATTCCATCAGGATGGGTACTCAGGACAGGAGAAGCAGCACATTCAAACACTGGGTACTGACACTGGCCCGGCTCATTGTTGCACTCTCCTTGGTCCTCGCAAAATTCACTCTTTGTCCATTCATTACATTCCTGCTACTTTATTTCCTGCAACACACTACAGATTATTTTCCCCCCAGGGTTAAATTTTCTTGAGTCACACACTGAGTCTCCACATTACCTGGTCCCTGAGCAAAGACAATCTCACTGTAGGGATAGTTTGCTTTTCAGAAGAATTTGTAACAGGAAAGCTAGGAACTCGTTTTTTGCTAGGAAGGCTTTCTACCTAAAAGGTAACTCTTTCTCAAAGGCAGTTAAATGCTTTCTACCACCACCCCCCCCCCCCCAACATAGCAAGAGAAGTTCTCAACCTCTCTCTCTGATATGGAGGAGAGAGATAGCCCTAACAGACATGTACAGAGACCTTGGGAAGGTGGGGGAGAAACAGAGAAGATAAAGAGACCCTGAGAGGGCAGGAACTTGTTTTTTTCCCCTGGGGGCTCAGTGCACACAGCATCATTAAGAAATGGTCCTTGCATCTGAAATAAACCCTTTTTTTTAATCCTTCCACTGCCTGGCATTCTTGGGAAGAATATGTTTTACCTTACACCCACATATGGGATTTCCCGGGTAGATGGAGCTCGTTAACCCTTAAAAAGGCAACCCATCTACGTCCTGAGGACCTCGCTGCCACCGTCCAAGCTCGCTTGGCCCCGGCAGATGAACCTTAGGATTAAAGGGTGGGTTCAGTTCCGTGCACATTGTGTCTCACCTAAAAAATCCAGGCTGGAAGGTGTAAAAGACCTTCCCCGGATCTTCACTCGCGAAGACTGGCCATTATTATTACATATGGGATTGCCTTTTCCCATGGGAGGAGAAATCCATACCGCCTTCCCCAGTCACTTCCCTATGTGTAGTATGGGGACCTTATCTCCTCTCACAGTATATAGGGGTTTTGTTTGAGCAGGACCAGGGTGGTTGGCAGATCCCCTAGTGTTGACCAACCAAGTCGCTTCAGTTAAATTTACCTCCCAATGCTTCCATGTCCTATTACCTAACGCTCTTAACGTAGTCTTCAGCAGTCCATTATACCTCTCAGTCTTTCCAGAGGCTTCTGGGTGATAAGGGATATGATAGATCCACTTGGTGCCATGTTTCTTTGCCCAAGAGTTTATGATGTTATTTCAAAAATGAGTCCCATTATCTGATTCAATTCTTTCTGGGGTCCCATGTCGCCACAGAATGTGCATCTCAAGGTCTAAGATGGTGTTTCAAGCAGTGACCTGGTTTACAGGATATGTTTCTAGCCAGCCAGTCGCTGCCTCCACCATGGTGAGTATGTAGCTCTTGCCTTGGCATGTTTGTGGCTGTGGTCCAACATAGTCAATATGCCAGGTCTCATCATGTTGCCTAAAATGGAAGAAAAGAACTTTCTGGGCAATATTAATATAGATAAAGTAGAGAACAGTCTTTAATTAAAGCACTTTAAAGCACACTACACACAAAAGTGTACTATAGTGTACAATACAGCATTGGGTTTTCACAATTTTATAGCTCTAATTAATTATCATATCTAATGGACATGTCCAACCCCAAAATTATCCTCCCCCCAGAACCTCCCACAGGTCTGACCCTCAGCACGCCTTCCCAGAATTGAATTGGAGGTCTCAGGATCCCTTTCTTCATCAACTTCATCACCCTCATGTCACATCTCTTCTTTGGAGTTTCTCCAAGATCTCTGGGTCTTCTAGGTTGCTTTGTCCACAATGATATCTCCCT